AGAAAGAGGGATTCCAGATCCTCGGCGGCGCGCGTTCAAGTGCCATGCTGTTCTCTAGAAGGGTTGCACCACACTCCCATCAAGTTACATGCCAATATGCTCGCTTCCAACAGCTGGATGGGAAGCACTTGCTTCGATGCTACACCAAATATTGCTTCGTGGAGGTGCAACAACAAGAATGCGAGCGTCAGCTTACGGCTCCAGGACTGGACGGGAGAACTTCTGGCACACTATGCTCATCAGACGCATCACTGATGCGGCAGATTGCGGCTTACGTTTACTTCTGCTGGACTGGGCAAAGGCTTCTGACAGACTCAAACCCAGCAGCCTGCGTAAAGCTTTACTTCGCTTTGCGATTCTGGCACATACGGTCACAGTGGTCAAGTCATTTACACTGCTGGGTAGCTTACTAGTTTTGGCTACTCTGGCCCTTCGGCAGGCAGGTAACATAACGCAGGGATCTCGCAAGGCTGTCCTTTGTAGCAAAAGTTGTTCATTGATGTCCAGTGCGTAATGTTGCACGACGGGCTGGGAAGCATCGCGCACGACCCCGATACCGAGTATATCGTGACATGGGATTGAGTAGATGCTGATGAAAGATCCCTTGCGCCGCAGAGCATCCCAAACCTCCAAAGCATGTAAAACATCATCGTGGATGAAGGTTCCAAGTACGGGCTGGAAAGTAATTGGGATCAGCTGCTCCAGATATAGGTCTGCACAACAGAAGCTATATGTCAAAATAATGGGGGAAGTATCGAAACCGTACGCGATGCTGCATACTTGGGCAGTCTCATTACATGCGGTGCAAGAACATACACACAATTGTCAAGGAAACTGAGTAAGGCGACTGAGGCTTTCAATTCGATGTGGACGACTTGGTAGCATCCTTTGGTTGGTTGGACGGATAAGCTCAACATTTACGACAGTTGCGTTGCGGGTTAAGTAGATGATTGTGTGGTTGCTGACAGCTGACAAACGCAGACTAAACGCAGTCCATGTCATGCACATACATATCTGGAACCAGCAATGCAGAGGTGCGCTGGCGAGCTGGTACTGTGGACTTGTCCCAAACAGTACTTTCAAGGCAAATCCAACTGTATGATAAAATCGCAACATCTAGCGAAGCTTCGCTGGTTCGACGAGTGCTCTGCATCGCGGTTGGCTCGCCGAAGAAACTGTTCTCTTGACGCGAACGCGACCAGTCCCGCCAGCAGTGGGCCAAACAAGTATGTGAGTTTACGTCGCACGTGATGTTTTTCTCTGAAAAGAGTACTTTCCCAACTGGTCGCCTAAGTGCACACTTGTCTGCCCACGCGTCCTGATGAATGCTTTGCTTCTGCCTGCCTGCAGCAAGGTGAGCCCAGGCGAAGGTGTCCGATACCCCAGCGTCGATTGGACCACCAGGGGTGGGGCTCGCATTTGGTCGCAGAAACCCATCTCCGCCCCCAAGTAGGCCAGGGTTCCTCAGCGCCACCAGCCTACCCCCTCCGGGCCGAGATGGATGCTGCGAAGCCCGACGCCACGGGCATCCCCGCCTGGAAGGGGCGTAGGTCGGACAGCGGGACCAAAGCTCTCCCCGTGGGGATGGGCACATGGAGGCCCAAAAAGAGATGGCACTGATCGCCTTGCAACCGCACGGGCGTCGGGCAGGTACCAGACAGGAGACACCACGCGAAACCAAAGCCATGGGCGCTGCTTCTTGGAGGCGGCAAGCCGTGGGGCGAGGAGACGTGCACCCTCTGTGCCCCTCGGGGCCCCTTCTACAGCAGGAGCTCGACCCCAAGAGACCTTGCACAAGAAGCCCAACCCTGAGACCCCAGGACGTCCACTGGTTTCTCACGTGGGAGCGTCACGCTCTCCATGGCAGAAGCACCGGAACCCAAGAAACCCAGGGCAACCTGGAGGCAAGCAGGGTGCCTCTTGGCATGGCTATCCACTGTATGGCCCCTCGGGTGCACAAAAGGTGCACCTTTCTGCACCCCCTGCTTGCCGCCCCCCACCGTTAAGTTACGCAGGAGAGCCTCGACGTCCCACGGCACCAGGAGGGGTCCACTGGCCCTGGATCGAGAAGGGCATCCCGCTAGATCACTGATTGCCAGCGCTGCCTCAGACATATTGGTTGCGACGCCTGTGTACTGGCAGCAGGTTTCTCCACGAGGTCGCCGTGACCATCCCACGATTATGCGCATTGCGTGTGGCATGAACGTTCACACACACACACATACACACACACACACACACACCTTTGGCGGATCAAGCACGTCCGAAGTGGGACGTCGAGGTGTCTTGCAGAGGCCATGGCAGTGCTGACGCCTATGAAGAGTGAGCAGGCTGCCGCTGAGAAAGCAGGTACTTCGATCTTGGCCCGCGCCCTGCGTCGCAGGGGGTGACTGGGCGGAGTCTGCCCAATACCCACCTCTTCTCGCAACGGCGCCTTGGCCGAAGCGGGCAGCTGCTGCGAAGGGCCTTCCCAGCTCGGTCCCTGGGATTAGGTCGGGCATGTCCCCCGACAGGCAGATGTTGGAGGAAAACTAACAAGTAGTCAAACATATTCAAACATTAGCAAACATAGCCCAAACATTGTCCCCAGACTATTTGTGTACTATTTTGGGATATTCCTCCTGTAGGGGGACAGGCCCGACTTAACCCTAGGATTTCGTGCAGTGCGGTCCTTCTCCAGGGGGGCCCGCCCAAGCTTGGACGCGTCTCCCTCTCAGCCTCCAGGAGGTAGCACATAGTGCTAACAGGAGCGTCCCCTCGTGCCAGAGGCAGTGTGCAGGACTCCTTGGAGCGCTCCAGCCAGACTGCTGGGCGGGACGTGGTCGTCTTGGCGGTGGATCTGTCGGGCCTGCACCTCTGGCCCGCCTCCCCCTTTCTGCCACTCGCTGCACCGACGTGGCGTGCATAGACCCCCCGGGCGCTCGCCCACACGGCTGCTGGGAAGTGGAACGTGGAGGAGGCAGCAAAAGGCACAGGCGCTCAGTGGATGAGGAGGAGGAGGAGGAGGAGGAGGAGGAGGAGGAGGAGGAGCCTCCGACCCAAGCCACGCCTGGGAGCAGAACAACCACCGTTTCCCTCCCTGCGCGGATGCGAGGCCCGGGCGCGTTGCCTCCGGCACGCCCGAGGCGCCCCACCCTGGCTCCTCGAGTGCGGCTGTGGTACGGCAGCGGCTCAGCGATGGGGCCTGCGACCAAGACCGCTCCACTGAGCTCAGGGCATCGGACGGAGGAGGAGAAGGACCAGTGGAAGCCGAAGACGCCTCAAATATGTCTGTCGTCACAGGTCCGTGCAAGCCTAGGGGGCCACATGCGAACCCTACCCCTACCCCCCACGATTTCTGAGGGGGAGGGTGGGGTTCACTTCGTTGGGGAGCTCTCGAGCGAAGTGAACCCCACCCTCCCCCTCAGAAATCGTGGGGGGTAGGGGTAGGGTTCGCATGTGGCCCCCTAAAGACTGCATGTTCCTTCGGGGATGTACCCTGTGAAAAGGCATCCGCTTTGGCAGTCCTGGACCGCAGCGCACCACGGAGCACCATGCCCGGGACCTCGGCGCCGCGAGCCCACGCGACTGCTGCGCCCCGGGAGTCCTGGAAATCGTGCCCGAGAGCGCCACTCCTGGGGCTGCAGCACCCCGAGTCGGCGTGACTGCTGCGTCATGACAAACCTAGAGCCTAGATCGCGCCAGAGCACTACACGTCGTTCATTTCTGATCGTGCTCGTTTCTAATCGTGCTCGTTTCCAGCTGTTCCTGGCCCTCTAGTTGCCAGGAAGAGGCCCAGGATAGAACAATTAGAAATGAAAGGATCTTGGCCCCCAAAAAACCAAAGAACTTTCGAACACCTAGACGTGAACAGTGTGTATACCTGGGGCCTCATCCCTGCGAGTCCGTGACGAAAATCGTTGCAAACTTGATTTTTTGGGGGGGGACGAGCGTGCGCGGCGCTCGGGCGAGAGCCACCTTCTCGAAGAGGAGCCACCCTACGTCCATGAAGCTGCTTACAAGCTGTGAGAACGCACGTGCGCGGCTCTCTATGGCGAGATCCACACGCTGCAGGCCACCCGCCCTCCATCCTGGAAGCTGTTGCAACTTCCGAGCTTCAGGAAAGGGTGAGGAAACCCCGTGCGAAACGCGCAGCCCGCCCTACCGACACGCCTGTGGGGTGCGACAGGGAGTTTGTGCACAGGGAAAATGGATGGAGGAGGAGGAGGAGAAGAAGGAGAAGGAGGTGAAGGAGGAGGAAGAGGATGAGAAGGAGGAGGAGAATCCGCCCCCTCCTGGAGACCGATTTTCATTTGTCGACGGTGCCCAAGGTCATCCATTGGGGGGGAAGGGGGAAAGTGCCGGCCGATAACCAAACCTGACCTATGCCCGCGCGCACCAGAACTGCGTACCCCCTCTGGACCTGCGCCAACGACCAGCTCAGAATATCCAGGCGGAGGGCGGGGGGCAGACGGGCCCGAGAACGCAGGTTTGCGCCGGACCCTAACATTAGGTCGGACATGTCATCCTGCAGGGGGATCTTGGGCGAAAAATCATTAGTAACCAAAGCGTATTCAAACATGGCCCGAAATAGTCGGAACGTCGTCCCCTGATAATGTTTTGAACTAGTTTTGAACACTCCTCCTGTAGGGGGGCATGCCCGACCTAACCCTAACAAAAAGCGGCCTCCGTGATGCGCCTGTTTTCCAACACCATCACCACCACCATAAATTGAAGGGGGGAAGGAGGAGGAGGAGTAGGAGAAGGAGGAGGAGGAGGCGGAGGAGGAGGACGAGGACGATGAGGAGGAGGAGGGGAGGAGGAGGAGGAGAGAGGAGGAGGAGGGAGGCGCGAAGCGAAGAGTAGGAGGGGGAGGAGGAGGAGGAGAGGAGGGGGGAGCGAGGAGGAGGAGGAGGAGGAGGTAGGGAGGGGACCCCCTCCCCCTCCAACTTATGGTGGTGGTGGTGGAAAACAGGCCCATCACTCCTGCCGCGCGGGAGGGCGGGGGCGCGGGGCGGCGCCCAGCGTGGACTCCCAGTTGCCGCCCCAGCCGCCCGCAGGGCCGACCCCGACGGGCTCCGCGACGGCCTCCGGGCGCTCCGCCGGGTCAGTGCTCGCCCTCCTTGTCCTCCTCGTCCTCCTCTCGTCCTCCTCGCCCTCCTCGTCCTCCTCGTCCTCCTCGTCCTCCTCGTCCTCTTCCTCCTCCTCGTCCTCCTCGTCCTCCTCGTCCTCCTCGTCCTCCTCGCGTCCTCCTCGTCCTGCTCGTCCTCCTCGCCCTCGTTCTCCTCGCCCTCCTCGCCCTGCGTGTCCTCGGGGGGCGAGGCGGCCAGGGGGGGACGAGGGAAGGCAAGCCAGAGGGCTGAGGGAGAGAGAGGGAGGGAACCACGGCAGCGAGAGGGGGGGCCGAGCGGGGGGGGGGGGGAGAGCCAGGTGGCGAAGGGGGGGCCGAGGGGCATAGGGACAGGGGTGCGAGGGAGCGCTCTTCTCTCACCCCTGGAGGAGCAGCAAGCGAAAGATGGACTGCGTGGCTTGGGAAGTCGAACCTACTTGTTTCTGTTGGAAGCAGAGGTTCGACTTCCCAACACACGCAGTTCGTCCCAGGCTCTTTGGAAGCAGGCCTGGCTTCCCCGTGCACGCAGCCCTTTGGAAGCAGGCTCTCGTGGGAGGCAGGTTCGTTTTTGTTGTCTGGGGAAGCAGGTTCGACGCCCCCGTGCACGCAGCCTTTTGTCTGGAAGCAGGCTCGACCTCTCGATGCACGCGCAGTCCCAAGCACGAGCGCTGCAGCAGGCCTGCGCGGGCCTGGCCGGGGGGGGGGGTCGGCGGCGGCCCCCCCCCCCGCTGGCGGCGGCGCTGCGGGGGGAGTGCCGCCAGGAAGCGGATGCTCGGCGCGCTGGGGGGAGAGGGGACTCCGAGCGCTCGGCCAAGACACGCGCGCGGACCTTCGAGCGAACGACCTCTGGGCGCGAATGGTCCAGCACTGCCCTGCGAGAAGCCTGGGGTGCTCGCGGGCATCGCGCAATGCCATGGATCGCAAGCCATGGAGGTCCTCGTACTGGGAGGTCGCAGCTGGCGCGTAGGTCGGAATCATGGGGACGAAGGAGGAGGAGGAGGATGAGGAGGAACAGCAGAAACCAGCGGAGGGAGGAGGAGGGCGAAGACGCGGTGTATCCGACATCACATCTTTCCCTCCCACCCGCTACCACGGAGCTCCATGAATTCTCGAATGTCGCAGAGTCGAATGCCGAGGAAGACATGGATCCCGACACGGCACCTACGTCGTGAAACGTGGCAGGCGCCAAAGCGGGAACGCTAGACCTGCTGACGCAAGGAGTACACAACCAACGTTGCGGCGAGAGCGCCACGCCATGGGAGCGGACACCGCATCGAAGTTCTGCAGCGCGGCACAAGCTGCAGCGGGAATGCAACATTCTGCTGAAGCCAGAATACAGTCAACCCGTAAAGTAAGGATGCGCGACAATGGTGCAAGACCCTTGGACGCCCATCTCGAAGCTATTCGAGCGGGGCGCGGCCAACGAAAGTGGCCAAGGATGGACCGAAGAGGCAAGGAGGCAAGGGTGCCCTTGGGAAGGTTGCCCGTCCTTACTATTCGGGTTGAGAGTATAATTGCTGCAGCCAGAGCATCGTTCCGTTGGATGGAGGCCCTGTGGGAATCGCACAATGTGGCCAGCGCTGCAGCCAGAACATGACCTTAGGGGCCGTCCCAGTTGGAACAACAACCCAGATCGAACATCACCTTCGGACAGTCAGTCCTCTCTGCGAGGAGAACCATATACAGGATCGCCGGGGGGAATGAAGGCAGCATCGGTGGGGAAAAGAGAAATGCTCATATTGATGTATTGGGGAGAAGGCAACAAGGGTCAGGGATGGAGACTGGGCACAAGGACGAAGGGAATGGAGCAGAGGATGCACGAGGCCCACGCAACACCAAGACCGTCACCATCGCGGTCACCAACGCCGTCACCACCGCAAATTATCATCACTTATACAGCCCCCGTCATCATCACTACCATTTTCATCATCGTCAGCATCATCATCAGCATCATCAGCATCAGCATCAGCATCAGCATCAGCATCAGCATCAGCATCAGCATCATAATCAGCATCAGCATCAGCATCAGCATCAGCATCAGCATCAGCATCAGCATCAGCATCAGCATCATCAGCATCAGCATCAGCATCAGCATCAGCATCAGCATCAGCATCAGCATCAGCATTATCATCATC